GTGCGAAATTGCGCTGATGCTGCTCGCTGTCATTCTCGGATTTCTAAAAGGTCTAGCATTATTGCATGTCGCGTTCGACTATGTTGTAATGGGATTTCTTTTATAACCAAGAAGATTTGAGATACAAATATGGCATGTTAGTTTCCTTGTAAAATGAAATCTCGTTGAAATCGTTAAGAAATGAAATAAATAACACAATTTTTTTAATATTAAAAAATATTACTCTTGCGAATACAGGTTGACTCTTACCCAAAGTATCATTAGGGTGCAATGAATAATGTATATTAAGGAAATTCATCCCCACATCGAAATCACCAATAATAAAGTATTCAGTAAATATATGAACCATTAGAAGATGTGGAAACAGATTTTTCGGCAGTGCATTGGTCTCCTATCCTTCCTGTAATTTAGAGTCTGTATCAAAGTACCAAGTCAAAAATGGTATAAAGCACTGAAAAAATAAGCAGCACTGACATATCAGCGAACAGTAACACCCGTTAAAAACGAATTACATCCCGCAAACGTTTTTGAGAAATAAGGGTCTTCTGGAAAGGTAGTAGCAACATGCAGCGCAATGCGGAAATGGACCAATTATGAAATCAAATACATATATCGAAAGCATACGTTGTTCCAACAATAACAATAGTAGCTGATTCAGCCCGGAGATAAAATAGCAAAGAGAATCGGAACTTGGAATTGTAAAAAAATTTTCATTTCGTTATGCCATGTCAGTTTCGTATTGTTTTCTTAAAATGAACAAAAATCCATAAATCAGTCGTTCCTGCTACCGCGTGTCCAAAAGCGTGCAGTGCATGCATATTTACTCGTATGCTTCTCTCGCTTCACGTGGCATCCCATAATATTATTGCGCGTACTGGAGTCTCGTGCTTACACATTGGCGAGGTAAAGCTTTGTGCATAAAACAGTGCCGTAGCCGGCAACTGTCGGGCTTTGAAATATCTGTAGAAATTGCATACGCAACATCTGGGTCGAACGTGCAACGATTATTGAAATATCTAACTGGCATATGAGACAAATTTATACGACTTTTTATTTCGTTGTAACACCCGGTATACCTCGACTGTGTGTTACGTCTATGAAAGACCGGCAGATTCTTTTGAAACTTGTAAACTGAACTCCTCGGCAAACTTGCAACACAATGGCTAATGAAGTATAAAATTTGGCATAACAAAGGATTAGGAGTTATTGATTTTATCGCAGCGTAGAATAAAGTGCTCTTTCTATGCTGCTGTTTCGGCGGCAGGTATACGAACACTTTATCATTCATGAGTTATGCATAGTGCGTGAAGTGGCTGATTGAGATAATCATTGATTAACAGTCAAGTCGATTTGCCTGGTTTGACCCTGAAGCTGACTGCAATAGTATCATGGCTGAATAGCAAAGCTCATTAGCGAAGCCACCGTTTCGTATTTATCAGTCTTGAAATTCAAACTGCACTGGAAGTTGGATTTAAATTATCCCAGTCGCGTTTAACGGTGTTTCCCGGATATTCGTAAATGCGCTTTGAAGCAGGCGTAAGCTTGTAATTAACGAATAAATTTAATTACGCAAATCGAAGCCAAAATTATTATTTTCTGTATAACACTTGAAACGCCTAAAGAATACGTATAATAATGAGCTTGATAAAATTTTTTGGAAATGCAGAAAAAAAAATGTTTCATACTCCTATTGCCATTAGAAATAAGGTATTGGACGTTGCAAATAAAAAATCCAATTTTCAAATAAAAACTAGTATAAACACGTAATCAAGGTGCCCGAAATCGGTATATACGTAGCTGATAGAAATTTCCATAACTAACCTTACCTTGGCATCCTGTACGTTCCTCATTATTAGTAATATAGGTCACACTCACCTATCACAGTCCATGCAAACTGGATCAATTGTTGTCTGTTAAATGTACGCTATACAATCCTGGGATGAATTTAACGTAGAGACGTACCGCGTGTTACCCCTTGAAAAGGATGTCGAATTACGTACCCTCTAACCCTTCCACAAACAGATGTGGAAGCTAAGGGCCATTTTCATTTAATCCAAGAACTAATGGCTTCCCATTTAACGAGAACGGGTCTCGTTATGTGAATATTCTACGATACACGTAGTCGACGTTACTTTGCTACGTAGTTACTTAAAATATATACTTTAGTCGTTATACAAAATTTCGTTATTGTTGACTTTCCCTTTATATGATAAAGTTCAACAATGAACATAGCCCTGTGACACTTTCACCTATATTCACAAGATATAACATCCGACGGAGATACGTTTCGCGTTAGGGTATACTAAGGGACCAGATTTCAGAGCTTTCAAAGGCTTAGAAGCTTTTGGATTCCCTCAACGGTGACAATAACTCTGAAATCGTTAAGCCACGTTTTATGATGACGACCGATACAGGAGTGCTTCGATAAAAGCTATTGGATTGAAATGTCGGAAGCACGTTTTCCTATTAGCTACGGTTACAGTATGGACTGACATAAAGTTTAAGGTTAATCAATGACTTTTATGTCGGCTAACTCGAGATAACTGGATATGTATGTGTATATATGTAGTATGCACAAGTATTGTACGCGCATTAATTTTTTCAATGATTCGAACGGCAATCAGTGTCCCCAAATTAGCTAGTGACCACAAGTAATGTCTTGAAAATAGCTATTTCTTCAATTTCCTTTTCATATGTAAAATATATATTAAATTTTTATAAAATATATGTACATGTATAGTGTCGTGAAAGAAGTATTATTCGAGAAAAATACATGCAGGTTTATTATTGTGATGCAGTATTAAATATAATTGGCAACTGTAGGGATTCTATTGACGGTATACAATTCGTATGAAAGTACGAATACTGGCTATAGATATTGTAACGGTGCTGATATGTCGAGAAATAATCATAACAGTATCGTAAATACCGGGTGACAAGAAACATTGCGCACCACAGCGTTTCGCAACATTCACTTGTTTTTCATTAAAAAAAATCAACGTCAGACATTTCCCGTATCTGTGCCACGATCTATGACGTGTTAAATGGATAAAAGATAATGTCGAAGAATCTGAAAGTTTTTGGAATCTTTCCAAATTCATCGCGGAAACGTGGTATTAGCTGCATGGAGCCTTTGCAACATGATAAAATTGCACTTGGCATCTTTCCATATACCGGCAATCCGTTCCTGGTACGTCACTTACCAGGATTATGATATTTTTTTTGGAAATTCCAGGTGCAACGCATTGAAGCGCATATCCTGATATTATTCTTTATACAACGAATCACGATATTCAAGGTTACAAATTTTTCAAAATAAATATCCCTAGTGCCATGTAGAATGTGCCTAGTACAACTTTAGAGTACTACCCGTATGTAGTATCATGTATGTATATATGTATGTAGCTGAAACTTTCTAGGATGAAAATTGCATAGTTTAAAAAATTTCAAACTTTCTGTGGCATTAGACTTCGTTCTGGTTTATTTTCATGAAACGATATAAATTTTTAACAAAAAACCACACTATCCGGATATAGAAACTACAATTCGACGAAGGACGAGCATTCGACAAATGCATCGTTTCGTACGAGGACAACTAAACCAAGAATCTCGTTTGGTGAATGTTCTTTTTCTTAAGCAATATACTTCGATACGTATCCTCGCGATCCGACGTGGATTGTTACTGCAATGTCTTGGTTCATCGATAAACGTTTTATCATTCCACGTGGAAAACTTACGTGCAAGTAGGTACATTCCAGGGAAACAAGAAAACAAAAATGAGAAAAAAGTAAAAGAAAGAATGCTACACGGTATGAATGATGCGGATAACGTTTGGAATATATTAAGTGGATTTTCACCATGCCGAAAAATCGGTATTCACTTCTCTACTATTGGCCCGAGTTTTACTCCAGACTGAACCATTGCTTCCAGTTTCCTTTTCAAATGAGAGTTATCTCAGAAAACGGGTTTGGATAAGGATAACTTGACAGTTCTGATAAATCCTTGATCCTACCGTTCCAATTTCCAATTGCAGTCTTCTCTGATAGCGCAGAGCTGCTGGTGTCCTACATTTCACTGTTCAGATCCCTCCCCCCCCCCC